TAAAATTGTCAAATCTTCTTGTCAAGTGTAAATATTGTAATTGTGATTGAAAGAAATTTGGTTTATTTCACAAAGAAAATAGTGAATATAAAAATGGTTTTAGATAAGATTATGTCCAGTTTAAGTACATTTTACATCTAGCTGTTCTACAGCCCAACTGCTAGTATGAAAGTAGGACATGGATTCTGGGGTGGAAAAGGAATGGAGAGAGATTTAGGCCACCATATAAGTTTAGTCAAGTATGGATGTAGTGTGCCGGCAGCCAGCGGGAGCCCACGGTGAAATCAGAAGGGCAAGAGCAGAGAAATATTCAAAGAGCAGGATAAGTGAGAGGAAAGTAGAAAGGAGTAGGATAGCAAGGAAGTTTTGGTAAGATGATTGGACTTCACAGTGAGAAAAGCCTTGAAAGGTGATGTTAGAAGCTTTAGCATAGGAAATCTGGAGGTTCTGGTGTGCATTCTGGGGCAAAAGGAGTTTGGAATTTGAGGGCTTTCTCTAGGAAAAAAATGAGATTTTGACTTCTGAAACAGTAAGGGTGTAGAGCTGATGTAGGTGTAGAGCTGATGTATCTGAGGCAGGAGGGCAGAGAGGTTCAAGCTTTTCATGTGGGAGCAGGAGAAATGCTAAAACTCTAGACCTGAGAAGGATGGTGATTGGCTTCAGTGGCCTTGTTTTGGGGAAGGAACTGGATGCTCTGCAGACTTAGGTTTGGTGGAGGGCTTGAGGCTGAGTTAGAGCTTTGGACATGAAATCAGGAGTCAACGGGACATGCTTGCAGGCATTCACACAGGCTAAGTGCCATCATCCCATAAACATCTCTAGCAATACATGCTTTTGTCTTTTTTTGGAAATACAGATCTCACAGCTAATTTTAACTAGGAAATCTTGTAATTTAGCTATTAGCATAACCAGAACGTGATGCCGCATGATGAGCATATGGGAGAAGGCTGGTGTTTAAGCAAGAAGTTTTGGGGTGATACCTTATTTGTGAAAGCATTATAAAAACAATGTATCCTTGAAAAAAGTACATCATGCTGTGAAAATTTGACCCATTTCTCCATACCATCATCAGGTCTGCGGATGACAGCAAAGTGGAGGACTAGTTGGTAGACTTAGTGGCAGGGCTACTAGTCAGAGATCAAGACAGGTTGGAGAAATGTGCTAAAACAGTAAAGAAGGTGTTTCAATACATAAAAGTCCCTTTCAGCAGCATGCATAAACAGACCAAGGTAAAGGATGGAAAATGATATAAAAGACTATCTAGCAAATGACATTGAATTGTTGTTGGAATCCCACAAGAGTCTGCGTAGGTCAGAACATTCATATGTGTTTTGAAAAAGTGATACATACACAGCTTGATGAAGTTTATTGGCGATACTGAATTATTCAGTTCACTGATTATAGTAAATATGAACTTGCCAGCTGACAGTTCTTTTGATCAGCAGCCTCAAGGAGATAAGAGAATCCACTTTCATCAGGCCTGCAAAGGACAATAAATTGAATGACAGGTTGATAAACTTAGCAGCAGTTGTCACTTATAGAAACTTAGGCAGGCCAGAGAAATGTGCTGAAAGGAACCTTGTGAAATTCAACAAGGGCAGTGCCAAGTCCTACACCTGGGAAGGAAGAGGCCCTGGCAATGAGACAGCCTGGGCACTGACAGCCTGGGGAGCAGCTCTGTGGAAAGGACCTGAACATCCTGATGGAGAGCAAGCTGCACGTGAAGTGGCAGCGTGTCCTGGCAGCAAAGGCAGCCAACAGCATCCTGGACTTTATGAACAGGAGCATGACGTATGAATAGCAGTAGATGAGGAAAATTTTCATCCACTGCTACTCAGCAGACAACTAAAATACTGCAATTTTGCCCTTTCCCCCTCCTCCCCTCCACCCTAATACAGGAAAGGTGTCAGTAAATTGGGTAAATTGAAGCAGGTTTAAATTGAGTAAATTTATGAAGGTTTAGTAAATGGACATCAGGATGCTCAGGGTCTTGGAGCACCTAACCTATGAGGAGAGGCAGAGGGAACTGGCTTGTTCAGTCGGGAGAAGGGTAGGCTTTGGGGAGGATCTCCAGGCAGCCTTACCACATGTATAAGGAGACCGCCAAAAGGAGAGACCAGCTATTCACAATGGTGTGTGGCAGGAGGATGAGAGATAATGGATATGAGAGGTTCAGGCTCAAAGTAAGAAAAACGCTCTCACTGTGAGGGCAGTCAAGTGGTGGAGCAGATGCCCACAGAGGCTATGCAATCTTCACAATACATAATATTGACTATGACGAGCTGTAAATGTAGCTACTGCCACTTAGGAAAAGAGGTCTGGGTAATGCTGTGATTAGTTTTCTGAAAGCATTCAATGCACAGCCAAAAGGTAAGCAGGAATTATTAGGATCATAGCAAAATGGAAAACATTATGTCATTGTCTAGATTTGTGGTGATACCACATCTCCAATTTTGAATATAATTTTCATTACATCATCTCAGAGAAGGATAAAGCAGGGTAAAGGATAATGTGGAAAAGATGATCTGAAGTATGGAAGCTTTTTCGTACAAAGGAAATTTACAAGTTTTTTCTTTGAAAAGGATATTGCAGAAAACAGCTGAAAGAGGTCTGTAAAATTATGAATGGCATAAAGATGTTTTATGAAAGATTGTTGGCTATCTCTCAGAGGCATTCTTGCATTAGCAGTTATATCAGCCATTGTAGATAGGGCAAAGGAATTGGTGCTGAGGGCCAGATGCCCACATTTGGATTTTAGAGAACAAGGGCAAGTGAACTTCAAGTCCCAAGGGCTGAATGCCCATTAGTGGTTGAAGTGTATTACTGGAATGTATAAGAGCTCTTGGAGCTTATCTTCTGGTTTAGTTTCCCCTGAAAGAAAATAATTTTTTTTGTTCTAAGACTTCTCCACCAAAGGACACAAAGCTCAGCCAGTGGAGGCAATGAGATCTGGTTCAGAAGCGTGCAGAGTCACATGTATGGAAAGAAAATCTTATCAATGCCTTTTTAAGACACTGTTCTGAGCAGAGATTCCAAATCACTAGTATCCTAAGTTGATGGTTGCTGCAAGCGCACATATGGGAAGGCGTCAGCCTGTCCTTGCCTTTTTTCTTGTCTTTCAGTAGCTCTCTCTGTTACAGCTCGTAATCAGAAAGAAGAGACTGTGTCAAAATGACCTTGGTACATCTTAATTACCTAAGAACACTTGTTTTAGCATAATTTAATTTTACATGAGCACTTACAATGTAAATGGTTGTTATAGCTTGCATATTATTCATTTGGGCACATTTTTACAGTAAAATTTTCCATCTCTGATATTCCTTAGCAAAATAGCAAAATGAGGTCAGTCCATTTACAATATTGGGAGAATATCTTTGATTGTTTGTACTTTTATTTTGAGTATTGCTAGTACCTCAGCAGGAGGTTGCTGAAACTTTGGCAGGGACGCATATAACAGATGTGCCTGTTGATGCTTTGGTGAAAATCCTTTTTGATTTGCATGCTTTGGTGGGTATAAAAGTGTGACTTGAACACAACATTGCTTTTGTTATCTAGTAACAAGTTTCCACTAACAGCCTGCCAGACTGCTGGCACTGTGCATGCATATTCATGTGATTGGAGTGGAAGTTCTTGCTCAGAATATAGCGACATAGCCATGCACAAAAAAGTTTAGTAAAATTTGTTTTAACAAATACATGCCCATGTAGAAAGCATTTAGGGACTGTGTTCATCAAATGTGATAGGGTTTCTTTTTAAAAAAGGAGTAAATATATTAGAAGTAATTTGAAGCTCCCTCAGCTCTTCTGTTTCATAGTGCAAACCACTATTCCATGTTTTGAGGAACTCTACAACTCTTAGTTGTTATCCACAGATGGCTAGAATCACATGTAAAGACATGGCTTATTTCCACTCTAGCTGGAGAGAGAGAGACATTTGGAGGTATTTTTCATGTCAGAATTTATTAAAGATGGTAGTCGCAGTATGGACCATAGAGTCTGCAGTAATATTTATGTATGATCATACAGGGTTTCTAAATCTGATACTTGGTTTCAGTACTGTACAAAAGTTTGGTAATATACTTCAGTTCTTCTTTTTGTTAGCCTCTGTTGAGTCCTGGAATTCAGTTCACATAATAATTCTACTGTTGACATTTTCAGCTGAAGCTTAATCAATTTACAGATGGTAAAAAAGACACTATTTCAGCCACAGAATATAAATATATATGTAGTAGCTTTACTCACACTCAGGGAAGCCACAGGGATTACATATGGTATAGTAAGCAGTTGCTGACTGTATAAATACCTTTAATACAGCACCAACAATATTTCTGTGGCTTTCTGTATGAAGAGCAATTAGAGAATAGCTGGTTTCCTAAACTGAAAATGCTCTTCTTCAGTGTATAATAATTACATTACAGAGTCTAATCTGTCATAAACTCAGTGCAGGTTTGCTTAAGGTGAGTTGCAGATATACAAATCAGGGGTAATACTTGCCCAAATCCTCTAGAAGGCGACGACTAACAAGTTAAAACTAATGTAGCTACATGTTTCCATAATTCTCTGATTATCCCTTTTGATCCAAAAGCAGCCTCTAGCATTTTGTTTTATATCTACATTAAGTATAGAAATAAATAAAAAGAAAGCACAGATAGCAATATTGACGCAGACCCCCCAGAGAGTATAATATACACTAATATTCATTCATGTGTAAAAGGCACAGTTAATGACACGCATTAGTATCATTCATATCATAAAACGTAATGCCACTTGCAAATTAAATTTAAAAAATAGAACGTAATAAATAAATCTAGGTTTCTAATTCATAATAATGCTTTAAAAGTGTTAGAAAAGAAATTAAGAAAAATAACAGGTTTGAAATTGATGTAAGTTTTGAAATTAGCATTTTTGAAGTAAATTCAGTCTTGGCAGGGTTAACTTTTTTTTTTTATCAGTCTCATTGCTTTTATACAGAATTTTATCTTCCAGTTTGTTTTTTGTCAGGTTTCCAAAGACGTTCAGATACTGTAACAAGGAGGCATTTCCCACATGCTGCTCACAGAATGGACTACATGGACTTCGAGGATGATAGCCGTGTATGGCGGTTTGATATGGACATGGTGATAATCTACATTTATTCAGTCAACTGGGTAATAGGATTTATTGTTTTCTGTTTTCTTTGTTATTTCTTTTTCCCTTTTAGTCTGTAATAATCACAGCTATGGAAAAAAGCAGTCATGTGAACCACAATAATGTGAATAGAAAAAACTTGAAGAAGGCAAATGCTTGATACTGCATTTTTGTCATTCAGAACTGTAATAGACTGCATCAAGTATTCTGTGAGGCTATTTGATACTTGTGCTATGTGTGACAAAGTACTTGAGTTTGGTTGCAAGTATAATGTGAATTCTAGATAGTACTTAATTTAGTGGGAGTTTTGCCTCAATTTTGGTGGAAACAGGGTTTACCCCTAATGTATAAAAGAATTACTCTGTAGAAATATGGAATACTGTTCTTAGGGGGATTCTGTCTACTGCAAAAGAATATGATCCATAGAGTCATTTTGGGGTTTGACTTTATGTTGACACACTTTGCTCGCTCATCGATGCTTCAATTCCTCATACATCAAAGCAATAAATATGCTTCCCATTTATAGTCAGATCTTTAGGGAGCAGGGAATTATAAGCAGTGCTGGACCATGCATTAACAGACATTTATGACAGCTATTTCAATAGCCCAGATCCTGACGATTGATAGACCTGTCAGCACTCTACTGTGGAAATATGCTGTACTCAGTGCCTGCAATTTTGAGCCTATTAACCAAAAAAGAAGTGATTCTGCACATTGTACTGACAGTTTATATTTCAGCAAATGGCAATCAGAAGGAATCAAACAACCCCAAGTCCTACACATTAAAGGGACCATTTTTGTGCAGGTTTCCAGAGTAGCACTGCACCTTTTCTTACCCATCCAGATGAATGTGTGTGGATCCAGCAAGACAGCTAATGGAGGACAAGCAGCAGGCCTCCTGGCTATGATGATGTGAGGCACTAACCCAGTAAATATTGGAGAAAGGAGCGTTCTCCAGTGTAAGAGATCAGTACCATTATTGAATTGCTGTAACTATTTGGGGATACTCTCAAGTGTGGGCTCACCAGGACTATGCATCTCCAGGGAGATCACATAAGAGGACACAGTATTTATTTGCACCTTTCATGTGAAACAATTCTAAAGCACTTTATAGTTACTCTATATAGAGATTGCTGAGATACAGTAACAAACTGCAGCCAGATCAGCAATCATTCTATACTTGCTGCTTTACACAGTATTTCAAATGAAAGTGAAAGAGCATCTATTAAATGATAAAAAGGACATTAGAAACTATTGTGGGAATAAGGTGCTAAAACATAGTACTAGAGGCTTACTTTTCAGGAAGGTACAAGGCTATTTTTATTTCTAAGGGCATGACCCTACAAAGTACAATGTGGTTTCATCTTGAAAAGCATGTGAGTATATGTATGTATCTGGTATGAGGATTTGTGTGGGAGACCTGTGGTTTTTCAGTAGGTGGTGTACTCCCCTGTTCTAGCAGAGAACAAGGAGAAATGTGTTGTGGAAGGTGCCATCTGCCAAATGTGATGGAATGAATTTGGGGATTTTATTAAGCATGTACTTATGCTTCTTTACTGGAGCAAGGCCAATATGGTCAATCTCTTATAGGCTATAAAGGGATTAGGACCAGCAACTTTTCACTTAACCTGAAAAACAGCAGTAAATCAGCTACTAATATTTAGTTTTACTACAGGCTGCATAAAATAATCTCTTTGAGAATATATGTATCAAATTAAAAATTACAAGTCTAACTATGCTAATTAGACTAAATAATTCTTGGCATCTTTTTAAATATGTGTGAATTTACAGATATATAACAATTGAAATTCACCATCACCACATAGTCATGTTTGTGACAGTAATGCATTTTCTGTAATTACAGTATTATCTAGTTACTTTGTCTCTATCTAAAGATGATTGTCTCTATTACTGGTGGCATTAGGCATAACATTTTAAAAGCTTTAAGATTGCATTAGAGCATTCGGTGATTTTCCCTCTATGTTGATACAAACAAGTCTTTTAAAAGCTAGGGGTTTTAGGTCATAGGCTAATGTTTGCTTCATGCATATGTGTAGGTTTGTATGCTGAAATATTATCAATAATTTTAAACACCTTTCTTATATATGCCAGGACTGGGATTTTAACTGCAGTTTTCATTTGTCTCTCTAATTTTATGAATTTACTGCTCCTGTCTCAGCAAAGAGAAGGACTGATTCACCTGTTAAGTTGAAATTGCTTCTACCTTTGATATCAGAAAATGCTAAAATAAAAATAAAAACGTCATGAAAAATTAATTTAGCTGACATAGTCTGAAATTCCAGTAACAATGTAATTTAAAATTATTTAACCAGGATGTCTGATAAAACAGTATCCTTCAGTAAAATATTCTAAAATATATTGAGACATAAGAAACATAATATAGGTACTAACTAATTAGATAAGAGTTACTCAAATAATTTTTAACAGCACATTACTATGGTTTTATTTTGAAAAAGGCAACAAAGGAGAGTAAAAAGTCCAATGTAATATTGGCCCCTTTTGTACAGGAAGAATTGATGACACAGTGGCTACATTTTCCTAAATTTAATAGGTGTGACAATTTTGTATGGCATTTCTAACTCTGTAACTCTGCTTTCTTCAAAGCCTAAACAATAAACTGTTACTTGGACTATATTGTTTTATTTTATATTGATTTTCCAAGAGATAATTAATTTTAAAAGATTACAAATGTACATAATGAAGACTTGCAACTCTGGGAGACAACCTCCATGGGAAAAAAAAAGCATAGAGTGGGTTGTACTTTTTTTTTCTTTATTGCTTTTTTGAGATACATACTTTTGTAAAAATACAGTAACAATTTGAAGGCTTAGATCTGTTTTTTCTTGAAGTCTGCCTGTAATATACTGTCAGTATCTGTGGGAACAAGAGCAGATCTTTTGTAAGCAATTTTCTGGTTAAATTGATCCTGCTCTGATCTGCTTGTCTTTCTTATCTACAATACTATTAAAATGTTTGCAATAAAATTTGAGTTGTTTGTAGTATTTTGCAGTCATTTCACTAGATTTTGTGTGGTGGAATTAAGCTTTAATATTTTTTTCAATCAGTGCCTTGTTTGTTACCCTGTGTGTTCTTTACCTGCTTGGGGTGCAGCTACGGTTTGCTGAATTTTTTACTACTGTGATTAACTCTTTTCATACTAGCGGCCTTTCATTTGTTTCAGTACTTCCCAGGAAACAGTCAGCTTCTGTCAGAAATCATCTAAAGTCTGGGTTTTGTAGAGGTAAACGTTTGAATTCAAATTTCCAAAAACACTTCCTAATTTTGGGTGCCTCTATTTGCATTCCCAGCATGAAGCCTTCCTTCTAGAGGGGCCTGATGCAGAACTGAAAATCAACTTTCTCCAAAATAGTTCTTTAGGACTTCTTATGTTGGGAACCAAAGGATGATAGAAGTTAAATACACCTGCTTATGATGGACTTCAGCAGTGATCCAAATCTGAGCAGAATCTATAAGAACCATAATTGTAAGGTTCTAGATTAACCCTAAAATGTAATATTTAATTTAGGATATTTAGCTTTTTGCTTGATTATATTTTTACACAGTGATTTCTTATTTTTAAAAAATACAGTGTTCCTAAAAAAAAGGCTGAAGTATGCATATTTCATATTTTGGTTCTCTAAAATCTATAGGACAGACTTCATCTGTGATATGCACTGGAGAAAATGTGCTGAATAAACTGAAAAATCTAATCTGAGGAATGTTTTTGGGCAGGTCAGCAGATTGACACTGTAGAACAAAAATCTCAGGGATCACTTCTCAAGGAAAAGCTGTCAGCGGGCCAGAGTTAAGTACAAAACATGTGGCTTTATCTTGCCGTTTGAATGCTACACAGGACACTTTCTACTTACTTGGATACACAGCCTCCACTGGCACTTCAGCATCAGCTTTTATCCTCTACACCCAGGTGGCCCATACAAGTCATTGGAAGTTATCCAGAGGATCTGATGGCAGACATTGATTTTCCTTTTTTTCTTTATTAAAACATTCCTGAATATTGACAGTTTTATCCAGTTTTTTTGATTGAATTGTGACTGCTGAACTCTACCCAAGGGAGACAAGATGATGTGCTATTATTTTTCATTACTTTTTGCCCTTTGGGACTGATCTTCCATTTCAGTCAGTTGATGCACTGAGACATGTATGACATACTACCCTGAAACTCTGAACAGGATTTTTTCAAAATTCAAATATATCTGTAAGCACTTCCTTTAATATTGTAGCAGCAGTCAGTATCCTGTGTGCACTTAACTAAGTAGGTTTTGAGTTGGAAAGATATTCTAGACTCAGTACTACAGCATATCCTAACCCAATACTCCTCAGGCATTCGTCAGCAATGTTGCCTTACATCAACAACATTATTAATGTCTGTTCTACTATATAAGATTTGGAAAGACTCCTTCAGCTTCATGTCCTCAACATCTCAGTACTAATTAACAAGTGAAATAAAACTGTTCCCATGATTTCTAGTTTCATGTTATACAAGTGATACGTATCACGATGATACTGTATTGGTGATGGCTTGTTTGAAGTTAGTTTCATTTTAGGATGAAAAAGCTGCATTAACTATATTTGGGATTTTTACTAGATATAATTGATAATAATGTATTCCATTTTCCATCAAACATTTTCAACATTCAGTTGAAATATTTCTACATTTCCAGAAATGCATTAAAATGTAATCAGGCAATCACTTAAAATATACTCCACATGTAATCTTTTATCCTCAAACAAGACGATGAAACAGAAAAAATAAATGCAACCAATAAAAAGATTATGGTAAGTCATTTGATACTGATACAGCATTAAAAATTCATTATTTAAAATAATTTTTACTGTCATTAAAAAAAGTATTAAAATGCTAATTATGTAATGTACTCCAGTGTTTCTGAGATGGTCAATGAAATTCACACTGAGTAGAAGGGAAGTCTTATGTAGCCTTTCTGTATTATCTGTATAAAATGGAAAATGCTAGCTATTTACATAAAAATCTAGATTACCATCCTGTTCAATGAAAAGTGAAAAATGATACTTTAAGGAATCCTATGTAATCCAAATCTCCCTAACATAATCTGCGGTTTGGGGGTATTAACTCTTCTTATAATTAGGTTGCTACCCAAGGAATATTGTTTAGACTTGCAATCAAAGTGTGAAAATAACTGAAATGCACAAAACTCTGTCCTAAATCCATGCAGATTATAAATCCTTGGGGAGGTACATAAATCCAGAACTCATTGCCAGTCATAGCATGGCATCTGATAGTGCCTGAAAGATAACACGTTCCAATTAGAAACATATGAGGAAAGAATGTGTTTGCCTTGCAGATGGCTCTAGCTAGCTAATGTATGCATTTCAGCTGTCAGAAGTTAAACTAGTTCTAAAATAATTTGAATTAGACTTCAGGGAAGGAAGAATATGCTAATTTTCTTTTATATCTTTCCAAGCAGAGAATGTTTGCAAAAAGTTAATGTACAGGCAATTTATAGACCTGTCTTGTTCTATCTTAAAGAACCGGACCCCTCTTTTTATCTTTTTAAGGAATTCTGAATTAAATGAACATAGGAGTTAATAATTAGCTATATGGTTGTGGATTTTTCCAATGTATATAGTGCAGTTTTACTTGAACAGCAATTACATGACCTACAAAATTATCTGATAGTTTTGTATTATACTCACCTAGGAATTAAGGCTCCGAAACTCATTTTTATTTGTCATCTGGATTGTCACTTGAATTCTAAACTACAAAAAAAGACATGATGGAATTAAATTACCATGCTACGCTGGTAGTTTTCTTTAATTCTGCTTAAGATGGGAATATAGTGTAATGATAATAATAGCATAAAGTCAAGATACCCCTTCTTTGCCTATCTATTATTCCTAAAATGCCTTATTTCAGTGTGATTTACAGGTCAAATTCTCATCATTTTTGATTTCTAAAGCCTAGTTCTTCAGAACTTCCATTTTCCATGCAGATTCTAGTAGCAGCAATGCTCAATGTGAAAAGCACTTAGAGCTTTTTAAGTGAAAGGCACTTTTACAGGAACAAGATGACATCTAAATGCAAGTACTACAGGTTATCCAACAGGTTAGTGCATGTTTTGGCAACAGTAACTATATTATCATTATTACCATAATTTAAATCAAATGACAGCCAAATTGCACATGCATGTCTTGCATAGATGCTAACAATTCTTCACTGATTTAAAGAAAAAAAAAAATGAAGCTGGTTTAGCATGTACTGCTTCACAGGAAGTTTAATATTAGACGTTTTTCAGCATTTGTGTGTGACACACTGATCAAAAGGAGATTTCTGGAACTAGTCTCCAAGTACTGCTTACCTAAGTACCATGAGCAGGAAAAGGGGAAAATGTCTAAACCTTTAAGTAGTGCAGATAGCAAATTGGTTCAGGCAACAAAATATAAAACACAATGTAATTTATTAACATTTATCTGAGTCTTTTTACTTACAGGAAAGATGAGTTTATTTAACATCTAAGCTTTTTAACAAATATAGTTAAACCAATCCAGTAGTTATTGCACAAACCTGAGTCAAGATCATCAGTGATCAGCAATGTGATCACAGCAGTCATTCAACATTTTTTGTACAAAAGGATGCTGCTAAAGACTGTTGAACTCTCTCTCTGAAAAACACTATAAGCATATTTCAGCATTATTTTGTAAAAACAGCACAAATGTAATAGATGACTGAAAAAAAAAAAATGTATCGAAATGACTGACATTTTAGCCAGTAATAATGAAGGACTTGGAGGAGAAAATGTCAAGTTGTAGAAAAGAGAGTCTTCCAAACAGGTAAGGTTGAAGTTCTGAGGCAGCAATGAAAGTTGTCCACCAGCCTCTTGTTTATAACCTGGCGTTACAGACAAATCCATTCTCTCACTAGGCCTTTTTCTGTACCCACTGCAACAGCCATGCTACACCTGAAATTGCCGTGCTCTGCTCCCCTTGTAGTGCAGGAATCCTCACACAGACTAGAGCCAGCACGGTTGGCTGCATGCACTACCACTTGGCATGAGAAGTCATACAGATGGCAGGAAGCATGGTCAGATGACACTGCGAACTGCCCATACACTGCTGGAACAGGCTCTTGGTGACTGTTAAAAACATGGAAAATGAGTGACTGCACCTCTCCAAATATTTCTTCTGGATTCCTAGGAAGGAACTGTAATGTAGAATGAATTAGGCCTATATTCTCCAAAGGCCCTGAACACCTAAGACCCCTTAGAACAACAGTATCTGTTACGTATAATGATACATGTGCTTATCACTGATCATGGTAGTTTTTTTCTACAGATCAGTTACCAGAGTGCTTCCAGGAAAAGGGTTTAAACATATGATCCTAGAACCAAAATTCCCCTTGTTGATAGCAACTGCCCTAAGGACTGGGTGATAACATAGGCATGTGAGAGGGCAACACTTTACTGTCAAGTGAAATAAGGCTACTATATTACAGTTGGACTTAATGATCTTAAACATCTTATCCAACCTAAATGAGTCTATGATTGTATCTGAAGTTGCACACATTATTAAGTGCAGAAGATGGAGTTTCTAAGTTTCTGTTTCACAGAAACTGAATCTTCAAGTTGCATGCTTTAGCTGGGGGTACATGGGTGAAGGGGAAAAGGGGCAAATGCTGGTCTTGGATACACCTTTTATGTTTTAGTTTTTCTCCCAGTCACTATATGACATTCTGAATCCCATTACCTTGCACTTAGCCTTTTCTAGATAGAGGGAATTCTATTCAGTTTCAAATTTCAGTTCCCTTGGTAAGTGTCTAACTTGAAAATTTGTTAGAGTAAATCCAGAGGAGGCTACAAAGGTGCTCAGAGGGCTGGAGATCCTCTCTTAGGAGCACAGGCTAAGAAAGCTGGACTTGTTCAGCCTGAAGAGAAGGCTCCTGGGAGCCTTAGAGCAGCTTCCAGTGCCTAAAGGGGGTCTACAAGAAATCTAGAGAGGGACCTCTTGAAAGGATATGTAGGGACAGGACAAGGGGCAATGACTTTAAACTGGGAGAGGGTAGGTTTAGTTTATATATTAGGAAGAAATTCACTAATGTGACGGTGGTGAGGCACTGGCACAAGTTGCCCAGGGGAGCTGTGACTGCCCCATCCCTGGCAGTGTTCAAGGCCAGGTTTTCCCTGGCTTCAAGCAATCTGGTCTAGTGGAAGGTGTCCCTGTCCATGGTGGGGAGGTTGCAACTAGGTGATGCTTGAGGTCCCTTCCAACCAAAATGTTCTATGATTCTATGATCTATGATGTATTGGAATAAATGTTTTCCCTTTCTATGTTAATTTATACTGTTTATCTAAGCATACACCTGCAGTCATTACTGTGACTTAAGTATTATTATGAGCGTGCTAGTTATTTTTTATTGGAAACCAGCAGATTTCTCATTTACTTTTATATTGGTAAATATATTGCTAATTTAATATTATAAAAAAATGTATACATACTACTACTTTCAAGTAGTGCAATCAATAATACCTATGGAAGAATAGGAAAAATTGATTAATAAAGCCATTAGCAGAAGTCAGTTACTAAATAACTGAACATTTGTTTCTCAAGTTTTTAAAAACCTTTTACAAAAACAAGTATGTTTCTGTTGTCAGATAATGGATGAGTACAAAATATATACACATCTCAAATAAATGTTTATAATAATGAAACTTTTCAACTTTACTGTAAAGAAAATGCAAAATAACACTTAACATAATTATGCTGAATGTTCATTAAGAACTTGCTGTTTGACCTTACCAGTTTATAAGAGATGCAGTTTTTAGGTACTGTGTTAGGCTTGATGCTGTTTATCACATTCAGTCAGAGACAGAGCTGCTGCAGTCCTTGATGAGAGCCATGGGAACATGTGCAGAACCTCCTCTCTCACCATTCTGAGTTGTCATGAGTGTTCATTTTCTGGGAAATGTGACAAATCTTTCCTTCTATGCCAGACACTGCATTTACTGATGGTTTTTTACTGTGCTTTCTTCAAACGCTTGTGGCAAATTTAAAAAAAAAAATGTAATATATGTATTTAAAAAAATAGAATAAAAATAAGTGTATTAACTACTGAGCATTTAAACAAATGTTATCTGATTATATGGTAACTCTGATATATTTAATAAACCCTTTAAACCCCACTTTTTATTATAAACTCTAAGTTTGGTAAATATCCAAATTTCATTATGACTAAGACCACAGTTGTGGAATTACTCTTTGTTCAAATTTTTGAACTACTCATTACCACATCACTTCTCTAGTCTCATGCAGATGAGTTGAGGCTAAGCTAAGCTTCAATTTAACTATTACTGCTTTTTGCTGGAGATTTCATACATGCCAGGTACACACAGTACTGTTTTAAGTCTTTGCCCTCAAAGTCACAGTTTTATTATTATTTTCTATGATAGGAAAAAGATGATGTGGTTAAATATGACAAATAAGGAGGGAGCCAATATGGGATTAAGAGGTAGAATAACCTGGCTTGACCTGTATGCATGTATCATGAAGCCCATTAGAGAACCCCAGCTCACTGTTCTCATGAGCCATTTAAAGTAATGTGGCAGCTATATCAGCTTTTGAGAGGCAGTGAATAGGATGACTCTTTGCTGCACCAAAAATTCCTGCTGGAGTAGGATCAATAAGGAAAGGAAAGGAATATATTAATTAGACCACTTTTATTACCCATCAGGAGATACTTGTGCTAGGAGTAGGTCCAACAGAAAAAAAAAAGGTTATATTTTTGTCATTGGCTTTTCAGAGAAAAAAAAATGAGAATAAAGCAATTCACACAGCTATATGGACATTTAGAAGGGGAAGAGGAACTTCTGTTTCTCGCTGAACTTTGAGACAGTATGATATACTTTCATCAGAAATTATATCATCGCTGCGTTATCTTGAACCCTCCATTGTGGAATGCTGATAATGTTTCTAGGTTTTGTTCTGTGGCTTTGACCTGATTTCCTTCATACTTTCTCAAAACAAAGCCATCTACTCCCAACAGAATTTTTTAACCTTTACAAATGTGGTATTATAAATCACTTAGGGTTTAGCTAATGTTAGTGCTTTGAGAAAGACCTTTTTTGTGCTTTCCAGCACCATTCATAGGATCATATAACCCTTTGTCTGGCTTATGTAATTTAGATCAATGCAAATGGTTTCAGCTACTTTTGCTTTTCATGCCATTCTTAGAACCAAAAGTATGTAACAGGTACTTATCCCAGAATGTCAGGTAGACTTCTCTGTACTATTCTGGAAGAGATTAAAATGTTATTTCTTATTGCATCTACTACTAAGTGACATCTCTGCCTCTCTGTACATTTTAAAAACCATAGACCATATTCTTAACTTCCTGTCTATGAAGAAATAAATATTCTAAATTAAAGCCAGCATTGCAAGTTCACAAGGTGAAACATATGATACAAAAGAAATGCAGCTTTATATTCATAGGTTTTACGTGTAGAAAAAATAGAGCAAGATGCAAGGTAAGCCACTGTTAGACATGCCATAAACTGTTCATTTAAGTGGCAAAGAATAGTGCCTCACTTCTTGAGCATCTTATATGTCTTTGACTACAAGAGCACTGCTTTCTGGACTATTAAAAGGATTTTACTGTCTTGAACTGCCTGTAAGTTCCACTTTTTTAGCATTTCCTTCTGTGTTTCAGACTTTTGTCAGAGGCATAGTTTATTGGTATGAAAATAAAAGAGTATGTTTCAGCCTGTAAGGGTCACGAATAGATGGCAAAAGTCTCTTACAAAGACCTTTAAGTTAGTATTTCAGTGATCTAAAGAATTACTTGGCTCACCATCCATCTATTCTCATAAGTAAATAGTGTTTAGAAGGAAACAACTTTATTCAAACATCACTGAGAAGAAGTTTTCAAACATCATGGCTCTGAAGAAAAAAAATCTTAGGAGGGATTTTTTCAGACCTGCCAAGTAAATCAGGATTTAAAATCACCGAATCATAGAATCATAGGCTGGTTTGGGTTGGAAAGGACTTCTAGGTCATCTAGTTCCAACCCCACTGCTATAGGCAGGGATGCCTCACACTAGACCTTGTCATCCAGAGCTCTGTCCAACCTAGCGTTGAACACCACCAGGGATGGAGTATTCACCGCTTCCCCAGACAACCCATTCCAGTGCCTCACCACCCTTGCAGTAAAGAACTTCCTCCTTATATCTAATCTAAAATTCCCGTGTTTAAATTTTAGCCCATTACCACTTGTCCTATCCACATATCCCACTTTAGTCTCAGATATACCAAAGCTGAAGGGGATCTTCGGATAACCATATGGTGTCAGCTGCCTTTAAAGCATTTTGGTTGGTTGTTTTGGTACAGAAGTTATTTTAAATCACACTTTTGTAACTGTGGAAAAGCCATTAGAAGAAAACATCTGCCTGGAGGAAATAGAGTTATACAATCTTTACTCTCTCCAGATGTTTAAGAATGTTTATGAGATGTTTATGAGAGGCTCAGAAAGCAAAAGAGATAGATGGTGACAATGCCTGAGTGTATCAGTAGACCTACATACTCCAAAAATAATTTTGTCACAGACTCTACGTCAGGGTAAAGAGAGGACTGTATCAGAAAGGCTTTTGTCCCTTGAAAGCATTACATGCTAAGTCTAAAGCCTCTGTGTGCTAGATCCACTTCTCTACAACAGACTAGAATTTCAGAACTGGGTTTGACCTCTTTAGAGTCTTATCTACCTCCTTTATTTTCATGTCCCTCTCTTCATGCCTGCAGGATTGATTGCCCCAAAATGATCAACTGTGAATAGTCTCCGAAGCAGCTGAGGAAATATTACCATATTTATCAAGTAGCAGTTCTGTGGCCTTCTAGGGTTGAGTACTAGGCAGTAGTCACAGGTCTTTCCTGTCTTTTCCCAGCTGCGCTCAGGTAAAGTTTCCACAGACTGATGTCCTAATGTTTTGTATTTCATGTATCATATAACTTTATTTGCATTATTCAAATTCCCAGTAAGCTGGATGACTACAATATGACCATAAAAACAAGTCTCTGAGAGAAATAAAAATATTATTGTATATGACAGTTCTGTAAATATGCACATGTAAATGCCTATTTCAAAATTACTTTGAATTGTAAGGTTGCAAAAGCATTAGTAATAAAACTATCCAATTTTTTGTTTAGTATGAATTTTTTATTCATTGGAAAAGTGAGTTGAAATTGCTTGGAGCTACCTTCTTAAACAACTTCCAGATTGAACATGTACATTTTGCATGCAAATAAGACTGAGAGACTGGCTACAAATAGCTATGCTTAATCTGAATATGCAAAAATAGTATTTGCATGTGTGAACTTTACTAGGAAACGAGTAAGAGAGTTTAAAAAACAGGCTTGATATCTGTGTTTTCTAATCTGCAGAATGACAGGCATATTTCTCAAACACATAGGAATATCAGGAAAGAAACAAGTCTGGAAGCTGATGGAGGAAAAAGGGAAAAGAATCAAATTATAATCCAGTAGACTTCCATAATTTAGCAATCAATCAGATTGTACTTTATAGAAATAAAGCTTCAGAAGCCCAAATAATAACGCTATACACATCACAATTTACATTAACCAAGTATTTCTTAATGCCAAATTGGTAGACCTTGCTTTCCTTCAGATAGAATCCTTGATTTTTTTGCTGAGTCTCCTACAGTTCTGTGCCCTGGTTCTGCATCTGGATGAAGGCAGAATTCTATTCCTTCAACCTGAGGGAATCTGGAAGTTAAGAAGACAAATACTGGATAGAAAAAGGGAATAAATCAAGTTTATGAACCATTCAGAACAATAGAGTAAGAGCCAAACTTAGGGTAAAAAAAAAAATACAGCTCTTACAATAATGAACAGTAAGATCATATATGCACCCAATATCCTACTATTAAGTGTATTTGAGGCAGCAGCTGTTAGTTTCCTCACCAGGAGTCCAGAACTGAACATCTATGTAAAGACACCACCAAATAAAAGGTATCTAAGATTTTATCCCAGTTTTTATATTTTCATAGTATAGTACTAATACTATTTTTTTTTTTTTTTTTTTTGGTAGAGAAGTAATCATCATACTTCATACAGGCATGACACAAGGTTTGTTATACCTTTATCAGCATTAAGTCAAAATGTTTAAGTGTCTAAGACAGCTAATATATTTCGGCACATGTAGAACAGACCGGATGATCACTCTACAGACTTTCCATCAAGAGCTGGGTACCTGTGAAACTCCTTCTATAAGGCTTCCAGGAGTTGTCTCCCTGGAATTTTGACTAGTAGCAGGGGATCTCCAACAGGGAGGACAGCAAAAAATCATCCATAGTAAAGTCCTCTGCTGGGTATACTGAGTCTAAAAAAAGGGTATATACAAAATCATAATGAAATAATGAAATTTCCTGTAGTATTTTTCTTCATAAATGTTTGGCTAAATAATACATTTTCTTGTTGAAAGATTTGAGGTTGGATGGTGTTTGAGGTTATGATAAGTAAGAAAGAATATGTGTTAAAAAGGTATTCAAATAACAATGATGTAGGAATCAGTATCGCAAAGATGTGTACATATACTTTATGTGCAGTAAACTGTCTTAGAAAATTAAGCAAACGTTGATTCAATGACTTCTGTATTTAGAGGTCTATTGTTTGGGGGTTTTAAATATTGCATGCATGGGTAGATGGAGAAGCCAAATCTCAATTGTAATCCCTTCCATAATAAAATAATGATAGAGCCAACTTAAAACCAAAGCCATCTGGGCACCAGGTATAACAGTAGTCTAATAAAAAACAACAACAAAACAAACAACAGAATAGAGTAATTATTAGCTAGGAAGAACAGCAAAATGGAGATTGTAACACCACCAAAATTTATTATATATGCAGATTTGTAGAAGCTTTCAGTTTTTAAATAGTTCAGTAGCATTTTCATTTAAAGCTTTTGGGCAAAACCAATTCCAGATCTAGTAAGATATAGGCTTTGTATATGGGAAAAAAAAACACAATACCGTATCTTTTAAGAGAAAAGGGGGGGGGGGGAAGGAAAAGAAAACCAAACCCCCAAACCTCAACAGAATGTGTACAGAATAATAGATCTTTAAGTAATGGGAATCACCAACACTATCTGACTGATAAATACCAATTTCAAAATTATTTCTTATAAGATTATGTGTTCCTATATGAACCAGTATACATGTTTGTTGTAGTTAATAAACGTAACCTGAAGCTGTTAGCTTAAGTGATCAGCTCATGTGTTAACTGATTATTTTCAGATGTTTATTAATGTATGAAGCATTAAGATTTGCAGGTTTTTTTGCAAATTTTAAATTCTTAATTTCTTTGGAGGTTTCTTTTTCTCTAATGTAACTTTCTTTGAATGCCTTCTTTTGTGTTACAAATCCCTGATTTCTGGATTTGCTCTTACTCAGATATTTTTGAATGGCTACTCCAAACTAAATAACTAAGACACATTTCCAAGGTTAAATAATATAAACTTACTCAAAACATTTGGTGACCAGATACATTTTAAATGATGACCTAAAGTAGCTAGTGCTACATCAGCAGGAGCAGCTTCTAGTACTGCATTGACTATAGGATTCCCTAGACTGCTTTCTGCTGCTTATACAATATTTATATAAGCACCTAGTTCTGTATCAGATGGACAAAGAACTACTTTTGAAAAATGCTGAATAATAAGGCTTCCAATATACTTATCTACAACAAATATTCCTGAATTCTAGAAATCTGTTTCAAAAACCAGATTTGTTTTATAATTTTCAGTATAAGAAAACCATGAAAAATGTGTATTATCCCTTCAGTCCCATGAACCTGAATAAGCATAAAATATCATCTTCCACTCTGCATCCATGCTCACAAGAAGCTTAGTCATAGCAGCAGCAACAAAGCTGCAAAATACATCTTTGGAGCTTATCTAAGCAGGTGGAATTCTAGTCCAGCATTTTTTCTTACAGTATCTGATATAAATGATTTTCAGATAATTGTAGTGCACAGCAGAAGTGATCATAGACCTACAGTAAGATGATAAACCCAAAATGTTTCTGCAAAAGCAGTAAATAAAATTGCATCCAGTGCAGGACTTAAGAAGAAAGCTTGACTAGACTGCAAGGGATAACTCTGCAGGTGACTGAATTAGGGATTTTATTCTCATGTAGGGAAATAGTTCTTAAATGCAGTGGATATCTGGGATTTTGCTCATTAGATTTGAAAATTCAATATCAATGGTGGGGTTTTTTTGTTTGGGTTTTCTTTTTCACATTGCCTTTGCAAAGTGGAAGGTAAAAGGACTCAACTGATTGTACTAAATCCCATAGGAAGACTGAGAAGAAATTTGCCAGAATTTGAGAATACATGATAACAGCCAATAACCATGTACATCAAATTAACAGGTTGTAGCTTGTTGCTTAAATCCATTCTTGGAACCATTATCATCCACGTGCACTTCCAAAGCAATTTTCTTAACTATTCTCCCAGTTAAAAGTTCAAAACGAATTCACCTGCTGTCAGCAACAGAAATGCTTCTATAGTTTTAAGATAGTTAATATCACAGGTTGCAGTCAGTTTACAGTCAACCTAATATGAACAATCTCCAAGTTTCATATGGAGATGTTCATATGAACACCTCCGTATGAAGATGTGCTTGTTTTTAGCATCTCTAGTGAATACCAACAGTGTAATTAAAATTGTCTTGTGATCTCTAGAGTCCCCTCAGGAACGGAGAATATAGCAGATGCCATCATACTGCAGTATAGCAAAGCTGCTTTATAGGAGTGTACCTGTGGTTGACTGTATTAGTGCTGTGTACTATAAAAAAATAGCTTATTTAAAATTTAATATTTTGTCAGAAGTATTTTATTCACAGTAGGAATGTACTCAACAGCAATAATCACATAAGAGATTTAAGTGTAAACCTCTAGGGATTGAACTGCTACAGTAGTATTACTAATAAATATCTATAATAAAGGAAATTCTTATGAATGGTGCTCTTTCACTTAGAAAGTCCCAGCATCTATAAAACAGAATGTTACTGAATGCTGCAGTCTTTTACTCTGCCATTGTTTCTAACTGTTGAATGAGTAACTATTGCAAGGGTAGATTAATTAATGTTAATCCATATGCCATTCATATAATTCATATACTGTCACCAAATAATTCTGCCAAGAATTCAGAAAGTAAACACAGAGGGATGTTAAGGGCACTTGTTCTGCTATGAGCTTTCCTATTCAGTAATATTTTAGGATCAAACCTGATAATAAGATTTCTAAATGCCATTTTCATTTGATAAAGTGTTGTCTTTTAGTAGTGATCAAATTTAGTTGTGGTGAACTAGAGTAACATTCCATTAAAAATTAAACTGAGGCAATTAAAAAAAAATAGGCTACATTCCTCTGTGGTCTAAGTTTACCGAATCAGGAAGGAATATGGATCTAATTTCAAGATAGAAGGGCAAACTAATCCACAAATTCATGTTAAAAATAAATCTAGACTGTATTTATAAAGGCAGAAAAATTCAATGACCACAATGGGATGTACACAAAGTACACAATATACACAAAGTATATTTAATTGTATCTAGAATAATACAGAGTAAAGGACATAGAGCACTTTTAGCTTCCAACCCCCTAAATTCACACTCCAATATGGAATCAGAATGCAGCCATAGTAAAGCTCAAAATCCAGAAATAAGGAGATGCCTTCTGGCCTGGTATTACTGATATGGCCATTGAAAAGAGTTGTTGTTTTTAAATAAATTTGAACCTGATTCTTCTTAGGTGTTTATTTCTTAAATAAATCATTAAGAAAATCACAACTACCTGAAGGTTCTGAGTATACACAGTGATCACTGATTTTATGCATAAATCTTTTCTCTGGATTTCCCAAAATGTCAGTTCTTTAAAAATTATACTGAAAAGATGAACCAAAGTGGGGTTTTTTCTTTTTTCTTTTTTTTTCTTTTCTTCTCTTTTTTTTTTCTTTTCTTTTCTTTTTTCTTTTCTTTTCTTTTCTTTTCTTTTCTTTTCTTTTTTCTTTTCTCTTTTCTTTTCTTTTCTCTTTTTTCTTTTTTCTTTTTCCTTTTCTTCTTTCTTTTCTTTACTTTTCTTCTTTTTTCTTTTCTTTTTTCTTTTCTTTTCTCTTTTCTTTTCTCTTTTCTCTTCTTTTCTTTTCTTTTTTTTTTCTTTTTTCTTTTCTTTCTTTTCTTTTCTTTTTGATATAGCCTGTATTGTTTTTTATAGTAACAAAGGTATTGAGCCTGTTAACCCAGTTTTTACACAATTCCATGTTCCATTTCACTGTATTTTTAAATGTGCCTTCACCTAGGAGTTCCAAAGTAAATCTGTCATATACATTGTGGAGGGAACCTGGAAAGCTGTATTTGTTACATATATTCTTCCAGAATATCCAAGGCCAAAATCAAATTCATGGTTTCCTAAAATTAAGTTCAGAAAGTAATTTTTTAAAGTTAATAAAAATAACTGTAAATTTTAGCCAAGTGCCTTTTTTATTGTTTTATTTTGGTTTTGGGTTTGGTTTGGTTTGGGTTTTTTTTACCATGAGCTAGAGATTGAGGAAATGTACACTTCACCTTGTTCTTTAAATAAGCTCAGTAGGGGGATTTAGTCCATCTATCTTTTATGTCAAGAAAAGGTGGATCCATTTAATTTATTTTTACACCTATTCTAGATGCACAATTGTAAAGGACACTTTTGTGCATCTATGATTTTCAATCCACAAGTTACCTAAGTCAAAACAATCATAAATCATCCTTATAGGAGCATTTTTTAATGAAGGCTCAAGGAAAAAATTTTACATTTAATGCCCAGCCAAATAGTTGGAGTAAAAAGAATCTCAATGTATGATATTATTTTCTGAATTGAACATAAAATAATATGGAGGAAAGAAAAAATCTTTATCAGTAGCCTCATAAAGCAGTATTCTCAAATCTGTGTATGTTACAGAATCCTACATAAAGGCAGCGGTAAGTGGGCTTTTGGTTCAAACCCTGCACCTACAACTGGTGTAGTCCCTGAAAAGGTCCATCTTCAACGAATTACCACAGAGATGCTAAATTAGCTGCTTTTGCAGAGGATTTAATTGCTAAGGGCAAAATCCCACACACTTACTAAGTTTGAAAAAATACTAGCATGAGCAGAAGGAGTATTTAATATGAAAGCGACTGTTAACGTGCACACAGGCAGATTTTTACCGATAAAACCACTTTTCTTTGACAAATATGATCTTCTCATGTTTCATGCTGCATACATTCTTGCTCTGGCGTATATGTAAAACAAGAGCTGAAAAACAAATTTGATTAAAAGGAATTAAATTTACCTCCTAAAAATTAACTAGCCTCTGAGATTTGCAAAAGAGTAACCAAAATAATAGGAACTCAAAAAAGACTAGGTGACCTCATCCTTCCGTCCAACGAAATCCGTGGCTGAAAGGACAAATATGTTTGGAAGCACAAATCAAAACAAAAAAGAAAAAATCCCATTATAAAAAAGGATCATCTACTTGATGTATTTTTGCTTTCCCTTTCTGGCTCATAAGAAGTCTCGTACTGGCTTAGCAACCCTAAGGGACCTTTGCCTTACTTATGTGGGTAGCTGCTGAACAAACTAGCTTGTGTTTCATTATTTTCTGGGTTACCACACTGTTGTTTTCAGTAGCCAGTTTTGTTGTCTACTCATTCCAAAGCTATTTATCACAATCTCATTTAGGAGTCTGAACACTTGCTGCCCACATCAGAACCAAAGTCTGTTTCAACTCAGAGTCAATTACTCTATTTATTAAAAAGTATTTCCTTACGAAAGCACACTGTATATGGTCTGCCTGTCAATTTTGAAGTAGATTGTAGGCCAAACCAAAAAACTTACATAGACTTAAATGGTCGTGGATTTACTGTTCCCCTGAAGTGATAGTCCCGTAGTTGCTCCACATAGCACAGATCAGAGATGAGCTGTTTTCTTTCTTAGAGAAGTTACTGTTGACTGATGATTTTATGTTATAGCCCCATACTTCTGTGATTAGATTTTCCTTTTCTTTCTGCAGTCCTAGAGGCAAACTTTGACTCTTCATTCATTCCTGAGAAGGATATGCCTCTTGTAGAAAAGTAGTGTTGGGGAAGAGCTTGCAAAATTGCATGCCCTACACCCTGCATATGCTATGAAGCTGAGCTCTGCAGAGCATGGACATACTGTGGTACACCTCCGTAACAGGAACTGGCAGAGCCACAAAGACATTGCCACTGTATAAATCATGTGCTTGTCCTACTGTGACAAGGGCTATGCTAAGGCTTGCAGAGCACTACTTCAGCCACTAGATCAAACAATGCCTTTCTGTCCATCACATCAAGAATTTAGTCTGTGTTGACAATGCAAAGACCACAAGCTGCATTAAAGGTAAGAACAGAAGGTGCTGCTTGAGACAGCTTATAATGAAAAAGCTGCAGATGACCACCCACAACCAGGAATAATCAAACAAATCACAAGTATTATTAAATTTAACTTAGATTTATTTACCAAACACAACTAATGGGCAGCATGTGTAAAATAGGACCTGTGTTTTCCTTTTGTTGCTACAAGCTGGTGGATTTCAGCAGCGTCTACTAAAAGGTGGATCCAACGAATCAAAGTTTTTATATCAGCAAGATACAAGTATCTTGTAGAAAATATATAAATATCTACAGAAAATGAACAAACAAAACCCAGGTCAATTTGACATAGTCTTCTTGCTGTTCATGCATAAGCGTAACTTCATTTTCATTGCTGAATTACACCAAATTTCACTTGGCATTTCCTCAAAACAACTGAAATAAAACAGATGTACAATGCTTAGAACACTCCATTCTTTTTCAAATGTCAAAAGAAAGTGTCCTGTAAATAGAAAGGGAGGGAAAATAGAGGAAGGCTAAAAGCAAAATGTGAACTTGCTCTTTTTCTGTGTCACGCTGACTTGTGTTTTCTCAGTCTGACGTCAACACCTAAATAACTGCTCTTATCACTTTCCATTTCACTTTATTTTGTCATTCATAAGCATTCCCTGTTGCTGTTCAGCTTTTTCCACTCTGTTTATTCATGTTAGTATGTTTCTCTTTTTCTCCTCCTTTGTTTCTTCCCCACTTCTTCATTAGCCTTATCTGTGAAAGCTATATAAATTTCTGGAATATTTAATAGCACTGATGCTGGTGACATTAAATCACTTCACTAGTGCTCTACTGGGAAAAGCATTTCCAGTAACTTAATGTTAAGAAGTGTTGCTTCCAGCAGTACTGAATTTGAAGAGTCAAAATGATGCTGAAGTAGTGGCAAATAACACTGTGGAAGAAAGTATTTCTCTCATAATTCCAGAACAAACTTCCATGAAATAACAAAACCTTTCCTAACACTTGGGAAGACTGTGAAAGCAGAATTTTATACCTCCTGTAGGAATATTTACAAGTTAATATTTCTTATGAAACTGACATGATGTTTTCATAATTCCAAAAAGTCACAGAAGAATAGAGTTGAAAATGTCCTTGAGGAGTCTATAATTCAATTTCCCTCCCAAGGGGTGATTAAAAACACATGCATAATTTCTGGCAGAAGAGTGTTTTTTCTTAAAAACTTTCAGCTAAATTCTCCTGTAGAAATTTTTTTAATGCAGCTGTTCACTATTCTTAACATTAAAACAAGTTCTGTTTCTAACCTGGATACTCTCACTGAAATTTATTATCTATTTCTATGATGGAAAAAACATGCTGTAGCACCTTTTGGTGTTGAGAATGGTTGTCTTCCCTCAGTCATGTAGTTCCAGCACTTTCAATCTCTACAGACTGCATGTTTTCTAGCCCACCTTATCACTTTTCTTGTCCCTCCCTCTTCTCTCCAAGTGGCTCACATCTTGCTTGAAGTGCAAGGCACCAGACTGGATAGATCTGCACCAACTGGTAAAGCCAAGACCAAGTAAATATTAAGTGGAACTACTATCTCATCTATCTTGCTGGCTGTAACACTAATTCTACCTCCTGGTATGATACAGGTTTTTCCCACTGATAGTTCCATCTTCACGTCAACAACAAAAGCTACTAGTTCCCATTCTGCAGGTTTTTGCCTACCGCAATCTTGTATTTGTGTGGTGGATAACTTCTACCAAAGTGCAGTATCTTACATATTCTTTCACTCGATTTCACAACATTTTAGAAGATGGTATCTTCTCAGCTGGCTAAGTTCCTTTTGCATTCATGTCATCTAACTTAATAATCATATTCCAGTGCTGTCATCCCTCAGATAAGGTGGGCTCTCAAGCATCTGCTGAACCCCATTCATGTTAACCCCATGTTAAGAGTAACCCACTGGTTACACCTTGAGCTATTCTTTAAACTATTTGTCCTCCCTTAGAATTGACATTCCCCAGAGTGAAGGGGAAGAAATAGTATATAAGCAGACATTAACCATAACCTGCATATATATATTCTATATATATGTAGCCTATATTCAATATGATTTCTCCAGTCCTCTATGGTTACTCACGGTAAACAAACACAGAACTAGGGATCTGGCCCTGTAGGTCTACCATGTAGTGCAATCTGTGTGAACATGAATGTTTCTGTCGTTTTTAAAACTCATTTATATATGTCTTTCTCACATAATGAGCTTTAACCTATGCAGGGTAAGTTTTGAATTTTGCTCATATTTGGAGATCTGACACATTAACTTCAAGACTATAGTTCCACTTGTCATTTAGAAGAGCAGAACACAAAACTCTTCTTTGGTCACACAGTAAAAACCAGATGGGACTGTGGACAACAGAGAAATGAATGAGAAACAAAATGGGAAAAATGAGGACAAAATACAGAGTAGAAGGATAATTTGAGACTAGAAGAACAAACAGAAGGTGAGAACAGGCCAATTAAAAAAAAAAATGTACAGCATAAACTGTGAAGAAATTAAAGCAAAGAAATAATTAGACAAAGTTAAAAGGAACAGGTTAAAAAAGGCATGAAAACTGAAAACAAGCACTTATTTCTTTGCATGTATAGAATAATGCAGTCCTATATATTTAGCGTGTATAGGATAATTCAGTCCTATATATTTAGCAGAGTAGTCATACATTCTCAAATCCTTAGCTCTTTACTGGCAGCACAGCAGCCTCATGCAGGATTTTAAAACATATTTCAAGACAAAGATGTGCTGTATCTTTCCTAATCTTTGCAGGTCCTCCCACATGCTGTGTCCTTTTCTGAATCTAAGATTCGTTAAAAGTGAAGTTGACTTGCTTTTCTTGCCTTTGAAATAACTGTCAGAAACATTGATCCTGGTGATTATGGCTCTTTAAATCCTCCATCTTCAGAATTGATGATCTTGTTTAATCATTTTCTGACTCTTAGAAAGCTGTTTATTTCACCATCATACAAAGCCCAGGTAAGAATTATTAGAGAGCATTATTCTTCTTTCTGTCATCTGCCAAGCAGAAATGAGGAGGAAGAATTAGAGGAGACAGAGTTTGCCAGCCAGAGCCTTCATCCTGATGTTTCAGGTTCCAGGCAATGCAGCTGCCATCACAAGTGGAAGGACACATCCCTTATTATTCTACCATTCTCAGATACAGGGTCGTGGGGAAGAATATAATATTTCATTTGCTTTCTTATGGATAATCTTATGTTTTGGGGTTTTTTTTTGATTCATTTTTATATTCTTAAATTCCCTAGTTTATTCAGTTCTAGTTTTCCTTAAAACTCTCCACGCTTTCAGTAAATATCCTTGAAATAACACCAGGGAGCACCATCATTTGTAATCATTTTCTAGTTGTTTCTTTTTTTAAAGGATAGTGTAGAATTTAAAGGTCAGGAAAGCAAAAAGGAAGGTCCTCGTTATTGTCCTTGTATGTCAGACATGCACAGCCAGATTCTCAGAAGTGCACAGCATTCATCAAGAACAATTGCAGTGTTTGTTTTGTTTTCAGTTGAAAACTATACCCATGGCATGTAAAAAAAAAAAAAAAAAAAAAAGTGATTTTTTTTTTCTGATCAAGCTTATCAAATTGCTTGATAAGCATGGTGGAAGCAGGTTGATAACTGACTAAGGACAAGTACAACCAGAGGCATTTGGCAGTATATGTTTCTATTAAGAATGGCTTGATTTCAGTGTGGTTACTCAGAGCAGCAAGGCTAAAAAGCTTGTAGGGCAAAATAAAAGCTCAAGTTTCCCCACTGAAATCAGTGGATCATTTGATTCAACCCACATTGCATTTTCATGTAAAATGAACTGCACTGCGCCTCCATATATTGAAAGTCATTGTTTGTGGTGTCCTGTAAGGACACTTACATGGAAACCACATAATTTTCCTTGTTATTTAAGCTTTCAGTTAAAGAAACTATGAAAATGCAGTTATTAATACAATCTTTCAAATGTGAAAACATAACAGTCCAAGTGATAGCTCATAAGAGGATGTGATCCATTTATGTTCATTTAAATAAAACATTAATTCCATAGTGAAGTAATGACAATTTCAAAAATCAATGTTGTACCTCTTCTGACCATTTAACAGAAATGTGCAACAACAGAATAACTGAAACTGAAGTCAAAGTTTGCTCTGTAGGGCTACAATATTTTCATTGTAGCCTTTCAAACATGTAGCTACTGAATGGTTATCAGGACAGGCAGGAGAGTGGAGATATGAAGTAGCCAGTAAAGGCTTTTTCACAAAGTCCAGCGAGAAGAGGTTTCAGAGTACTGCTGCCTCCAACGAAATTACTGATTTTGAGTTGTGTTCTCATCATCTGACAACACAAACAGAATTATATGAAACTGACTAGGCCTGTGTGTCCAGTCTGATTTAGTTCCCAGATTTTCACTAGGTCGTTTGTTCTGGAAGTTGTATTTGGATTATTTCTTGGAACAGTATAATTTTTGTGCTGTATTTACATTAGAAACAGTAGTGAAGTTTTCCATCTTTGACGTGCTTTTGAAATCTGAAAATATTTGTCCTTTAAATGTTATCAGACCTTTGCTTTTTAGATCTCTAAGGAGAACAGCCAAAATATTACAAAAATAATCTTCCTTTTAAAAATGTGTGCAGGTAGCCTACTAGCAAGATTTCTCTCATTGGTATAGATTATGCTGCTTGCTATTCCATTTCTGAGCACCTGAACCATGTGACTAGGAGAAATCATGGACAAAGTGGAAAACCATCTCTCATACTGACTAAACCAGAAACTTTCTATAGGACTTTTATTTCTAGTAATCCCCTGGGTCTACAGAAAAAAAAAGCATGTACATAATAATGACTACAGAATTTAACATCTATTCCACTTCTATAAACCATATAACTTCTTAAAACATTCCTGAAGATGTAGTGGAGGACCTCTGTATTAGTGCAGGCATTTTTCCTGTAGGAGTAAAGGGGATGAAGATATTTGGGTTCAGTATTTATGTGTTATTCCCAGATTCTCAAAAGACTATACTTGTTTGGGGTTTTTTTTAATTAAATATATGTGTTCTGAATACACAGGTAACTGCAATTTATACATTTAACATAAAACCACAAACCACACATACATCTTTCAAAACCACACATACATCTACCACACATGCATCTATCAAACAGCCTCCAAACCACTGTATGCCAAACATTGCATTTGCTAAGTAGCAAAACACTGATACATCTACAGACATTAATTTCTTAAGCATCCATTTGGCTAAAGCTATATTCTCTCACTCCTCTGTCTTACAGCTCCTCATAAACCCATAGTGTTTTCTTTTCCATAGCTGTTCCTATTCTACTTTAATAATAACAATGTTTTACTTTTAAAAGTTTAAATTTCACCATTCCACAAATAATGTACAGATTTATTATATGTAAGACTTTATCCTATTATTTTACTATCCAGTCATTTATGAAATTTGTCATGAGACTTTGAATTCATAATGAATTTAAGTAATATCATAAAATTAGCTTTTAATTGTTAGTTGTTGTAAGTGGTTCTTAATTATTTGCAGGTTCTGTGTTTTTTGACCTTAAAGGTAATTTTTCTTGTCACTTTTTTACAGATACTTACAGGAAGATTTATGAGTGGTCTTTTTCATCTTCCATTCATTCTGTGGCTTTGTTTTCATGCCAGGTTTTCTGTCATAAAAAGGTAACATTAAGAAAAATGTATATTTATTTATTGCAATCAATCTCTGTTCTATTGGCTACACTACAGATAAAGGTAAATTACTGCATTGACACTTTCATAATGAGAAACTGATGTTAGCCTTGTGCTTTTCAAGTTTCTGCATTTTGAAGATTTGTCAAGATGTTTGGTTTTTTAAAGTAGGCATTTGTTTTTTTCTCCTAATAGAAGAGTGCTGATGACACTAGCATTATTTTAGTAACTATATTATGTTTAAAAAAATACTTATACAGGTGAAAGCAAAAAAAACATCTGGCTGCACGGGCCATTTTCTTAGACTTCCTTGTCATTGAATCCTGTATTGTGTCAGGCAAATCTGGCTAAATTTGAAACAGCTGACTAACTACCTGAATGCTTCCATCGGTATCTCAACATGAATTCATGTTGAATTACATATGTAAATACATATTGTAAAGGAAATAGAGAAGGTGGGAACATATCCTGGATTATCTGATTTAGAATTTCTTTCATTCTCTGATTTAAGGAATGCAACAGTTCATAAGTGCCAAAAATCTCACCGCAATGATCTCTAGCATCCTCAGGGCATGACTTCCATGTCAGAGTCTTGCAACACTTACAAAGAAGGCAAGTAAAGCAGACTAAGCTGTTTTGACATTCTTGCTAGCCTAAGCATATTGTTTCATGCATACATAACCAGGAGCAACATGCTTGTACTGGGCTGGCAGCTACAGACGAGCTCACTAATGAGTGCACGCTTTTTTAAACTTTCAGTGATTGCAAGCAAAATAAACCTCTTCCTCAGCATCTCCACTGCTAATGCACTTCATGGATATTAGTTTCCTAAGTAAACTTGGAAATTGTTGAGAATGACACAACGGAACTTAAAAAAAGTTCCTGCTTTCTTTAAAATCTCATCTCTTATATCAGTAGTCTTTGTTGAACTGCAGCTAAATTTCACAGAACAGAGATGTCTGTCTTTGCTTTGAGTAGTATCTAGATAAACTGGTTTTACACACTTTAAAAAAATAAAAACTACAAAAGAAAAACTTCATTACTATATTTAGGGTCAGAACTGCTGTATTTACTTCTATGCAAACTAGGTGTAATATTTTTGTCTTGGTACTTGGCCTGTAGGACATGAGTAACAAGAAAGAAATAGCAATTGAAGCTCTGATTCTCAAATGCATTATTGCATTGTTATTTATGACAGTTAAACAGTTCTACTCCAGAGGAAGCTTGCTACAAAATTTGAGCACTTCACCTCCGACACTGATCCAACCCTGCATTTCCAGGGAATAAATCTGTGCTCTGTTTAAAAAGTACAGTATTTACTTAAAAAGATGGTTGGCTCACTTTCTTTAATAATATTAAAAAAAAAAAAAAAAAGAAATGTGAAAAAGTCTCTGTTGTTATTCTTAAGGCTCTCATTTTCAATCCAGCTTTAACACTTACGTTTTATTTTTTTCTGTCCCATGGAGATTATGCAGAATTACTTTATTTATTACCTGTTTTTTTTGGTTTTCTCTCTGTATCTCTTTCTACAGAAATGGCCTTTTTTGCCTTCTCCATTCCTTCGCCTCCTTTTTTTTCACTTTTCTTTTTTTTTTTTCCTCCAAAGACATCTCCTCACATTTCCCAGCCAATCAGTGTATCAGTGTCTCTTTCATAACTTATCTAGTCCATTACATTCTACTCACCCTTGGGAAATGTTATCAGAAGCCAACAATCAGAGAAATAAATAGATTAGACAAAGATTGCAACAAAATGAAACAAGAGAGACTCCCAAGTAAAAAGTTAATCTGAGTTCCGATTTTAGAACTACAATACAGGGTAGGTATAGCAAAACCTACATATTTACTTTTATTTCATTATGAGCTGTAAAATTGCTGTATAACAAGAATTTGACTGTGTAACAGACACAGTACTCTCTGAACCTGTTTCAAGGTCACCTAGCTGTAGTCCTAAGAGGTTGCTTTGGGAGCGAGCAACAAGTCCCTGCTTGTGGCTATCAGTTAAACATCAGGAGACTCCTGCTTCTCCAACATAACCCTGGGGTGCCATCAAATTCATCACGTTCCATGATGATTTCAGAGGTCAGCTTGACGAATGATGGAAATATGCAGTCTTATGAACTGTAGAAAGAATCATGAGATCCACTTCCAAATGTGAACGTACTGAAGATACAATCAGAAGTTAACATGCTCTAGGTCACTGGGCCTTCAAAAGTGTCCCAGATGTTGGCTGAAGGGCAAAATTCAGCTGTGACTCAGCTTTATATAGGACAGATATATCGCCAAGAACTAAACTGTAACCATTCTAAAAGTCAGTGAGACTGGCATAGACTTGAAGGGACCAGAACTGCAGCCAAGGAAGGTAATGTACAATTAATCATGCTGCACTCTTTGAAGATCTATTGTTATTGGTTTTGGTTTTAGAATTAGTATTAATTATTGCTATTACAGTAACTCTTAATAAGACTAGAAATAGACTGAAATAAGACTAGATCATATGAATAAAATTATACGTGAGCAACAATTAAAACACTAGCAATAATGTAGCATAGTACTATGTTTTAATTTCCCTTTACAAATATATGTATTTCGTTCTATATAGATGTGAGGAGATGTATTTGATTTGCTTTTTGCCAGTATTAAATACATTTTCCTTGTCATTAAGTAATGGTTTCTCTGGATATGGAAGCAATATGATGTCCTGGCTAAGAGCTTGTGTTCATGCAGCACCAAATTCAAGCATTTATTTCCTATCTTTAATAGAATTAAGTTTAGTACGGATTTAAAAAAAAAAGGTAAGAAAAATAAGTGGCGTCCTTGCAATAGCACTTGCAAAATCCAAGTTCGTGCTGTCTGGATGCTGAAGATCTAGTAGTGTGTTTACAATTGTAACTTTGTAATTACAAGGTCATTCTAGTTTTACCTAAAGCAATGACAGCGCTTGCAAAACACTGCAAATCTAACGCTAGCACATCCAGTAGCTTTCCCTTTTGGGAAAGTTGCTGGAAATGTCTAAACAAAGTTTCCAAGCAGACTAGCACCGATTTCCACACTCAGGTACCACCAGGGTGTCTGTCAGTAACGATTAGGACTGCTTGGAAAGAGGCCCTCGACCAGCCAGTGTGCCATCAATGACATACTCAAACTCTTCGGCAAGACTGGGGTTCTGCGTGTGATGCATTTGGTGTTCCTTTGCTTGCAAGAACATTACTGAAACATAAAAATCTTTTATTTAACGTCCTTAAGAAATAAAATTACACCAGAAGTCAATTAAACAGCCACAGCTACGTGGCTACAGAAGAACGGGACCGGCGCGGCAGTGGCAGCTGGCCCAGGCTGTCTCAGTGCCCAGGGTAGCCTGGGGAAGTGGGTTCAGAGGAAGCGGGCACAGCCCCAAGGCCGTCTGCTTCGGAGGGACTGCGGCGAGCATCAGCTCGGTGAACTCCAACCGTGCTGGCATGCTGGAGCACAAGAGGAAACTATTTCTCCAACCGATTACTAATTCACCTCTTCAACACTGAACGAATACGATCTACAGTGCTGCCGCATCACACACTCCGAACATCTTCCTTAGAGTCCAAAATAAGGGGGTTTGGTGACAGAAAACAAAACTTCCGCGTCTGCCGGACGGGCGATGCGCTCATGGCTGGAGGAGTGGGGTATCTCTAAGGCTGCGGCCACTGCGGAGGCTCCGCTGGCTTCTCCCTGGGGCACGCAACGGGAGGCGCTCCTCCCCGGCGCTGACCCGCCTCCCGCGAAGGCCGGGCTCGGGGGCGCCGGACGGGCGGGCTGGGCTGGCGGCCAGCGCTGGGGGCGGCTGCGGCTCCTGCTCCCGCCCCGTGGGGGCGGTGCGCTGTTGACGGCGTCACCCGCCGGGCCCCACCGGCCCCTCCGAGCGGCGTCTCCCGACGGGCGCCCCGGAAAAGCGAGACGCGCCGCTGGGGGGAGCGCGTAGGGGCGCGGCGGGGCGGGGCGGGCTCCGCCGCCCGGAGCATCAGGCAGGGCTTGGCGGTGGCTGGATGGAAGCCCGTGCCCGCGGGGCACGGCCGCGCTCGTCACCCGCCCGCTGGCTGCTGGAGGGAGGACGGCAGAGCATGCCACCGGCGGGGCGGTTCCGCAGGGACTGACATGCTGCTGGAGGAGGGAGGGCGCCAGCCCCTCCGCCTTTCCCCGCGGTAGCGGAGGCGATGCTGCAGGGCGCTTCCCGGACTCTCCCGCAGGCGCCAGGCTATCGCCCGCAGTACCCGCGCTCGCTGCCGTGAGCGGCCCGGTCCCGGACGGGCCGAGGCGACGGGCGGCGCGGACCCGCGCCCTTCTCGGAGCGGCGGCGGCGGCTGGGGGTGGAGGCGCTTCCCGCGCCCGCGGGGCCCCGCACGGCGGGCGGCTCCGCACGGCCCATGCGTGTGCATGATCTCTGCACCGAGCGGGCGCAGAAAGCGCCCCCGCTCCGCCGCCTCCATCTTCCAGGGCAGCAGGACCTCACCGCACAGCCGCGACAGTGAACGGCGGGGCAGCGGCTCCGACGGCGCCTACCAGACCCAGAGAGCCCTGGATGACTGCAAGATGGTGGGTACCGCGAGTGGGCTTGCCTTGGCTTTTCGTCTGTTCCGAGTGTCCTCGTTGCGGGCGGCGGTGCCGCTCCTCGCGCCGGCTTGCCTATTCCTATCACGTGCAGATGCACTATTTTTAAAACTGCGGTCCCCACCGGGGTGCTGCCCCGTAGCCCGACTCGTCCCGGTTCCAAAGCGGGAGAGGAGAGAGATACCTGTGGGGAGCCGGCGGGGGGACTGCGGGACGGGCAGGGCAGAGACCTCGCCCCAGCACACGCCGCCTTCGCGGCGCTGCCAAAGCTGGAGTCACTTTTTGCAAGGTCTGGCTAAATCTGTCCCCAGACTTGAACTCACCGAGCCCTAAATACTAGGTGAGGAGCTGGTTCCACTGCGTGACTGCGCGCTCTGCATGCCGTCTTGTGCGGCAAGCACGCTCTCGACCTAAAATCCTTCTCAAACGGGACTCGGAATTTGAGGCTCTGAAATTCTGTTGCTGACATATGTGGTACCCGTTAACAGTCTCCCCAGAGTAGCTGGTTACAACTGTAAAACCCCGGGTCAAGTACCTGTATTCATGCTGGTTTTGTGCTGTCACATTATGGTGTGACATTTTTCCCCATTCACGTTCAAAATTGTTTGGATCCTGACAGTGCAATTTATACCCCCTATCTGGGTCCACGAGCTACAGTTAGATGGACATTGGGCCCAAAATTGCTCCTCTAACCAATGACAGAAATGGAAAACAAAATAAAGTTGCTGCTACTTTACTTGAAAGATCTGGATATTGCTGAATCTCTGTCCAGTAGCATTGGAAATGTACCTGCTACTTCTGTTCTGCTGGATTCTGGCAGTTTTTTCCTCTAATACTGCAAAATGTGCTGGCAGATATCCGCTCTGGTACTTCAAAATTGGAAGCAACTTGCAGTGCACCGAGAAACAAAAGCTGCCACAGTAGCTCTATAAATACACCCAACAAGTGGATCCTACTGGGTCCTGTATTTTTTTTTTTTCTCACCCCTGGCAGCATAATGTGGTTTGTTAAACAGAGATGATAGCTTGGTAGAATTCGCTGACTAGAAATAAAATATCATTTGCAGATGGGTTGTCAAGATGCAGTAAGATTCAGGAGTTAAAACCAATGTTGTATTTTCTTGTCCTGTGACTGGATACTGCAGCACCAGTGTGGTTTTGTTTTCCCAGGCAATGCTGAGGTGGCTGAATGTGTCTGTTTAGACAGGGGATGTCAGAAGAACTGGCAAAATGTGTCTGTGGAAACAGTTACCAGTTCCAGGATTCTCTTGATGCAGAATAATTATGCTGTGACACAATGTAGTACTTTTTTTTCTCTATATACTTTCATGCATTCTCTTAAACTACAGAACGAGAGAGTGTTGAAGCCAGGTTTAGCAAATACGGTGCCTAGGGCTTTGGGTTGTTTTGTGCGCTTTTAATTTAGCTTGGGGTTTGCAGGTGTGAGGGTGAAGATGTATTGGAACGCACTGGGATTGTTTTGCTGCTCCAGAAGCAGAGAAACCTATTTGATACTCTTACAATGAAATTTAAGAAAGCACGGCCAAAAATCAGGTCCCGGTACTAGTTCTCAGTAATACAGGTAATTACAGTTGCATGCATGAAGAGCCAGAATGTAATACTGCAGGAGAAGTGACTCGCTCATTTTCTGGCTATGAAAATTTGGGAGCTTGACTTTAAAATCTGATCAAACCCAGGTTTTTAGTATACTTGTATGTTGGGATATATTGAACTCCTGATTGTAATGATGGCTGGAGAATTACAAGCAGTTCTCTTGTCTGTTTTTATGTAGTTTGGAAATTGAGGTCAAATTAGCAAAACACAGATAAATAAATATTCTGTTTCATTGCTCCCTGCCTTCCACCCCCGCCACCATGTGGAGCAAATGGTCTGATGTGCCTTCTTTCAGAAGACAGCAAATGCTTCATCTCCTTAAAATATAGTCCCACGTACATGATCAGTAGAACTAAACAATAATGATCTTTCTATCACAGTAAAAATCTACCCAATAACATGTAAAAGTTATCCAATAGCATCCGTGTGTTTCTGCGGGGTATTAGATTTCTGTAAAGGTTGAAGTGTTTATTTACTTCTTTGATTGTTTTACACACGCATGCATTTGAAAAAAGTGCTTTCTGGAATCCGAACTGGAAAGTGACAATCTGGTGCATTTTTTCAGCCAATAACTGCCGATTAGTTTTAAGTCTGAAATCTGGTTTGGGGGCCAGTGACAGAACAGAAATTGTTACAAAATAAATTAGCAAAATTGCCAATGTAAAAACAAATGCCACATTCCAATCTGTAAATGTGCTGTTAATCAGGAAGCAGGAGGAGCAAAGGCAATAATTTCTGGAGATATTTTTGTCTTTTATGATAGCAAAAAATAACCTCATGCTACTAGTAAAACAGCTGTTTTTTTATCTCCTTGATATTTAAAACTAATAAATCAAACACTTTCAGAGATCAAAATCAGAAACACTATTTTCCTGCAAATGAACATTTATGGTTCACAGAAGAGGCAGCCGTCAGGGAGGCCCTAGTCATTACTAAATCTTGGGATCTTGATCCTGTACGCCATGCTATTGGAAGCAGCAGGGACAAGTCCTAGGTGGGCATGTTTTTTTAAAAGTGATTGTTTTCATCAGTGTAGTTAAATGTCTCATGTAAGTAAATCCTCTTTGTTTTTCAGCTTGTCCAGGAGTTCAATACCCAGGTGGCTCTATACCGGGAGCTGGTCATATCTATTGGGGATGTCTCAGCCACCTGTCCGTCTCTGCATGCAGAAATGCACAAAACTCGAACCCAAGGATGCGAGATGGCCTATCAGGCTCATCAAAAACTATCAGCAATTTCTGGGTAGGATTCTACTTACTTTTAATTAAAGCTGTACTCATGCACACATCTTTGCACACAGCATTGTGGAAAATTTCAGCAAAAGCATTGACTTGTGTTTCTGGTTTAGGCATAGAGGTGCATGACCACAAATTCTACAGAATGGTCATATTCTTATGGTAGTGCAATTTTGGGTCATATCCTGGTCCCCTTACTAACATGATATCCTACTGATACCACTGGATGCTTTTATGTAAGACGAACAGGATTTTACTCTGTATCACTAGACGACTTTAAAAGATCAAGGGGAAAGCCTTACTTTTCAACAGTGAAATAGCAATAACATTCTGCCCACTCCTTTACTTGGTATACCTGATTGAACAGTAAGAGACAGCTAGCTCAGCTCAACTAGAGACTTTACAAAACTAGATGAAAAAATAATTAGGCAAAAATTACATAAGGGAGGGGAGTACAAATACTATTGTGAAAATTTGTGTTTATATTCTGCGTGTTTCTGAATCCTTATTTCTATTGAAGTAAGAAGTGAAGCCTTCCCAGCATATAATGTTTTCATTTATTCTTTGATATTAACATTATATACATTTCTTTCCATGGTGACAGAATGTATTATCACATACTTAAGACTATGCCTCAGTACAAGATAAACTGGCATAAATAGCTATGTCTTTTAAAATAGGTATTCATGCTACTCACACCAAGTCTAATTATTTGTGTGTTATTCACACCATGGTGACTAGGGCATTTATTTGCATTAACACATGTACTCCTGAGTCGTGCTTCCCTGACTACACTTTGTCAGAACTTTCTGCACTTGCCTTATTCACGGTGGTCCTTTGTGCACCACGGGAGAAAAAAAACTTTCTCTTTTTGCAGCTCTGCTTAATTTCCATTGAAGTTCTTTCATGACTTTAATGTATATGAGAAATCTGTCATAGGTTTAGTGTTAGAGGGAAGACCACACTAACAAACATAACAGAAGGAAACAGTGGTTGGTCATTTTAGTACAACTGTCAGCATTTTCAGATGTTGTTTTGTGCAAAGACTTGTAAGTTGATATTGTGACCTCTGATGTGTTCCTCAAACAAAATTTGTGCTTTCAAGTTCCTGAGGTGAGAATTAAATAAACACACAAGCAGCCAAGAGACACAGGTCCTTTCAGTCAGTGCACTGAAAACATGGAAGCAATCAAAATAATATATTTGATTAGCAGAACCTCACTTGGATTATTTCCCCCCCCCCCCCCCCCAAAAAAAAAACACCAAAACAAAACAGGGATACATGCTCATTTAGAAGTATGGAGGCTTTTTTAAGTAATCATTTCACAGCTGGGAGTCTGTCACATACACAAAGATGTCCTGAAGGTTGTGCAGTCACTGTGAGATTGACATTTAGCTAATCTAAAACTGTTTTAAATAACTGTGATAATAATATGATATCCATAACAACTGGTAGGTGTTAGAAACCCTCTGGAAATTACTTACTTGGTTTAACAGGCATTTTACAAGATGTGCTTTGCATCCCCACGTTCCCCCACCTGAGGAAAGCTATATGAGCCAATTAACTTGTTTGTTGTATCTGTGAGGAAAGGTGGGACATGAAGGTGCAGCAAGGATTCAGTGTAGAAAAGAAACAGGAGAGGAGTAATAAAGTTTTCTCATAAGTTCAGTCATTAATTCATCAGGAAGAGTGATGTAGTGCTTACGGCATAGGATCTTGAATGGGAACCTAATTTGTTAGGAAAAAGACTCAGTAAGAAAAATGCTTTGGGACAGGAATTTACTAGGGACAGGAATGTATTAAATCATACTCAGTATTAAATAGTCAGGAGGGTAGTGCATTGCTCAGAAGCTACTGTTAGTCAGCAGACTGGACAAAGGCTCATTTAGTTTGCTGCTTTAGTTCAAAATGCACTGTGAAAGCTTCTGGGTAACACACCCAGTTCTGTCTTCCAAAGCTTGTTAAAGAAAGCCTATTGCTTTCCTACCCAGAGAGAATAACAACAATTAGTGGATTATGTTACTAGTCTATAAAATTTGCTTTCATATCAGCATTCTATTGGTTAAGGTCATCAGTAATGTTCAGTTGGTCTCTAAGTGACCTGAGCTGTTGCAGGGCACAGTTTCTTTGAAGAAGTTGGCATCACTGTCCAGTACAACATTAAGTTCATTAATCTTACTTGGACTGGTGTCTTTCTTGGAAAATCAGCAGAGAGCTTCATTTTACGCCTCCTGCTTGAATACATCAGGATTGGAGACTCTTAAATGCTCTCCTCATTCAGTCAACTAGAAGAGGCAACTATTCCTATTCCTAACTCACCTGTTCCACAAGACTAGGGAAAGTAGCAAAGAGGAAATGTGCAAAGACTTGGAAGGAAGAAAACAAGAACACATCCTATGAGTGCTGAGAAAGGCAGCTCTAGAAGAAAATTTGGAAATTACGGGAAGAGAAAGAAATGCTGAGGTGGAGATAATGCATTAGAAACTGAACAGTATAGAAGTCATGAGGAGAAGAAAATTTTGACTATGGACATATTAGTGATGGAATATGAAATGGACATCATAGTAGGACAGTGGTGTAATATGATAAGAAGACCTATATAATAAGGTCTAGCTGTAGAAAAAGTATACACAACAAAGGAGATTCAGCTAGAGAAAAGGAGGAAGTAAAAGCCAGACTTATATTCTAAAAACTGAGAGAAAGAAAAACAAAGGACATGATGACAAAGATAAGGAAGTAGCAAGGAAACATCTTATGAAGCCTGCACTGGATTAGACTGTATCACCCCAGCTAGCTCAAATCTGACAGCTGCTGGTAGCAGAGAACTCATAAAAAAGCATATAAAAACCAGGCTGTGCATAGAGCGATACCTCCCATAGTATGCTTGCCACTACCCAGCAATCAGTAGTTATGGGATTTCCTGCAAAGGATGCATCTGAACAATTTGTATTTGACAAATATGAGTTCTTAGAAAAGATTTTAGGAGTTGTCTAAATACAAAGGTCTTCTACTTAGGAAATGTTGAGGATGAATAATGAGATCTTTACATTGTGGTGTGTTTAAAAATATTACAACAGAAAAAAAGATTATATGAGAAAGAAAATGTCAAATTCAATCTCCAACTTCATAGGGCCTCCTAGCTATTACATCCTTGTCTTCACTTGTTCTTTTCTGATTTTTGTTGTAGAAGCAAGTGAAATTTTTCAAAAAGCAGATGCATGCCTGACTTTATCAGCAATATCGTGCCTTTCAGGAAATGATGAATACAAAGAAAAAGAGTTCAAATTCAAATATCCTAATTCTAGTTGGTGATCTTCTAGGAATGCGAGTTGAAGTATACTCTGTAAGTGTTGGTTTTCTCAGAACTTCAGGCCAATTCCTGCTCACCACACTCATACTAACAATTCTTAGTGATTTTTAATGAACTGTCTTCTGAAGAAAGTGAGTATGGTTTGGTCTTTTTATTATATTTTCTGCGTATCAATTTATCAGAAATGCAATATCTCAAATTAATTACATTGTGCACCCTTGCGGTATCAGATGACACGGTCAAATCTGAAGAAAGTAAAGCCGCAAGAAAATGAGACAGCATTACTTTTTCCAAAGTAATAGTACTTGTAACAGTATGAAGGGGGGAGGTGGGTAGAATGCAAATCTCTGTTTTCAAAGGGAGTCTGCTTTATGGGGTGATAAACAGCAATGATATTTTAGAAGTCATCAAACTGCAAGCCAGTTTTATAGGTGAAGTACACCAAGTCTGGGATGTAAATGGAAAGGTGACTCAGAACTGTATTTTAAGATACAGGTCTGCACAACTGTCTACACACTTTTGTAAATGTCCCTTTCATATTCTCAAGCACTTGATACACTTACATAATGCAAGTATTTCTGTGTGTACTTGGCACGCTGAAACCAGAACTGACAGTATTATCTCCGTGACAGTCTGCTATTTATGTTGACAGTAGGGTTTTTGGTTGGTTTAATTTTTCTTTTTGAGTAAAGTGAAACTGTGCGGAGTTTAGGGGTGCATGGCAATGTAGATCTGTGCAAACACAGCTTTGAAAGTGGCTCTCCTCTGTTGTTCAGATTGCAAAGTCCTGATCTAAGGAGGAATAAAACCCTATATCAGTACAGGTGTGGAGCCAACCACCTGGAAAGCAGCTTTGCAGAAAAGGAGCTGGGGGATTCTGGTGGACACAAGTTGAACATGAGCAAGCACTGTGCCCTTGTGGCAAAGAGGTTGAAGAGCCTCCTATGCTCCATTAAGGAGTGTTGCCAGCAGGGAACTGATCTTTACCTTCTACTAAAGGCTGTTGAGGCCATTTCTGGAGTACTGTATCCAGTTCTGGGCTCCATAGTAGAAAAGGGAAAGCAACATACTGCACCAGGTCTAGTCAATGGCCAAGAAGATGATTAAGAGTATGCAACATCTGACATACGAGGAAAGGCTGACAGACCTGGTATTGGTTAGCCTGGAGGACTGGAAAGGGATTTTGTCAATGTGTATAAAAAATAACTCATGTGATATAGAAGACAGCCAGACTCTTCTCAGTAGGACAGCAAGTGCAGGTTGAAATACAAAAAATTTGATTTAGAGGTTTTTAAACCCCTTTTTTTCTGTAAGCTCTGTAGAATATTGGAACAGGTGCCCTGAGAAGTTTTGGAGTCTCCATCCTTGGAGATACTCAGAAGTCAGCTGGATATGTTGCTTAGTAGCTGCTATAGCTGACACTCCTTTGAGCAGAAGCAGTGGATTATTTCGAGATGTCCACTCTGGCCTGTGACAAGAGACACTGTAAATCTTATTGGAAAAATTCCAAGCTGAAGTTTCCTTCTTTGACATTGAAGTTTCCTTCTTTGATATTGAGGTTCTATAAAACAGTTGTCAATGTAACTTGCCCCTGAATTCAAGAAAAGTTAAGGAAGTAGACCTAAAAATCACATTCTGATTGCACTCCTGTGTTTACTGCAGTGCACAAAAATGTTAGCATATTTCAGAGAATCAT